GTGGATGTAAATTTCTAAGTCTGTTTTTATCATGGAAAGATTTTCTTTCTCCTTCAATTACAACTGATAGGTTTCCCGGGTGCAGTAATCTGGGCTCACATCTGTGTTCTTTCATGATTTGTATGACATTGGTCCATGCTCTTATGTATTTCAAAATGTCCATTGAAAAGTCAGCTGTTATTCTGATTGACCTGCTTTTACATGTGACTTTATCTTTCTCTCATACAGTTTATAGCATCTTTTCTTTGTTCTGTACATTTAGTGTTGACTATTACACAACATGGGTAATTTTTATTTTTTCTGGTCCTGCTATGTGGTGTTGTTTATGCCTCTTGTACCTTGATAAGTATCTCTTTCCATAGGTTTGGGAATTTTTCTCCAACCATTTTAATAAAAGTATTTTCTGTAGTCATTCACACATATTACCCCCACCCCGGCTCTTACAAATTTTTTGGCTCCTCTTCTGCATTGATCCCTGAGCCCTAGGTGGCAGAGGATTAAAATTGTCCTGTTCCTAGACACACACTCTGTAGTCTTTTATTCTCTACACATTGGCCAGTTTTGGTTTTCTGTATTACTCATTCTCTGTTGCATGAGGAAGCTTCACTGGGGGGGGTGAGAGATGCATCTCTCTACCCCTTGTTCCACTATGTTCTGTGAACCTTAGGTATACAGGTTTCATTACAGATGTGTCACTTAGGTCTGGTCATCTCATGTGAGAGACAGGCTTGAGCCTAGGGTGATAGTGCAACTGTCAGGGTCACGTGGTTTCCAGTAATCCAGGTTCTGTCTGAAGCCCAGTATGCTAATGAGGCATCCTACCCTCTATTCTGTGATAGAACGTTAAGTCTGTTATCCTACTTAGGATGATGCTAATAAGGTATCCTACTTGCTGTACTGTGATTGGACCACTATCCCTATATAAGCTTGTGCCTTCCTGCAATAAAGCAGACTTGTGTCACAGAATCTGTTCTCCTGTGTCTGAATGCAGCTCCACTGACACAGTCTCCTCACCAGCCCTGGGGTCCAGGACCGGGCAGAAGCAGCTATGACAGGAGGCAGCACAGGGCAAGCAAAAGAGCTGCCTCAGCACCAGGCAAGCAGAAGAGCAGCCTCAGCAGAGGGCAGGCAGAAGAGCGGCCTCAGTCCAGGGCGAGCGGAGGAGCATCCTCAATGCCCATGAGAACGAAGGAGTGGCACCCATGAGAACGGCCGCTGCTGGCGGTGACTGCAATCTCACAGACACTTTCTGTTTGATCAGTTAGGAATTTTGTAATAGTATCCTTCTGTACAAACAAGCTTCCTTAGTTAAGCCAGGATGAACAGTATTCAAGTGGCAGGGTATAGGTACATGGTGGTCTGAGTGATCCAGCCCAGCACAAGTCTGAGCCAGGGAAGGGTCCCAGAAATCCAGGCTGAGTTGATAGATGAGAAGTTGGAATTGACTCACTCTGCCACATGCAGATTCAGGATGAGACAGTATTTCTGTGACCCAAGGAAATCTGAATGTGAAGAACACACAGTATGAGGGAGTCTCAGAGATAGAGCTCCAAGTGTCAAGAATTTTTGGTTTATTTTAATGTTGAGAATCCTACCAAGGCCCTCACACATGATAATAAGTTTTTTATTCCTGATCTACATACATGCCCAAGGATTGATGAGCCCTCATTTTTGTGTTTGTAGTTTTTTAAGTGTTTATATATTTTAAGCATAATGCACAAATGCACACAAACAGATTTGATAAATCATATTATTTAATATAACAGATACTGTTAAAATGTAAACATAAAATAAAAACTAGGAAAGAGAAAGAATTCTTGGAATATTGGCAAGTACTTTTTCAAAGAAAAATATTGACAAGTTGCTTATAACAAAGATATTTTCCAAAGGAGATAAAAATACAGTAAAATTAATGAAGAGGAGAGAACTTCTTATAAAAGCATGTATTTGCTGTAACAGCAGCTATCTCACACATGCATTTTATGTGCATATATAATGACTAATGATATGATTATCAGGATCCATTGTAGGCATATCACAAGAAATTATCTTAGTCCTTCATTTTACTGAAAATGTAGCTGCCAAACTGTGCGTTTTCAATGTTTGTATTTCTTAATAGCCACAAAAACAAGACCTGAATTTTAAGTAGAGTGGCCAGGTCACCCTCAAAGTGTATTTGATGCTTATGGTAGGAGACCAAGCACATTATGAAGATTCAGTGGTATAATGTAATTGAAAACTGGATCCTACCCAGACCTTGTTTTTCAAGGTGGTTGACTTTGTAGGGTAGACATGGGTGATTCAGTCAGGCAAACTGACTAAGGCTTTTATCCTTCAAGGAATATGGCCAGTGTGCATCCATTGACAGTAACCCATTCACAGAGTAACAAGTTTAGGACTGTCCCTTTTGGACTACCAGGACACATGATGGTGATCTTCTTGACCTCGTGTGGAACCAGCCCTCACCATCTGCAGCAGTAACCTGGAAAACACATCATGGCATCGATCCAAAGTAAGCAAAAAAAAATGGCCAGATCCTGCAAGGAGATGACCTTGAAATTTGACTTGGTTGCTACCCTAAACTTGACCTTTAATTTGTGATTCCCCTAGCTCTTGGGAGAGTACTTATAATATTACTTTAGAAACCAAGGCCCTCAAATGATCCCTTCTCTCCCTTTTTTTTGTTGACTGGACACATGTCCTCTCTCCCCATCTATGTGGATGTGTTTGAGGGATGATAGGCTGTTGTAGCAGTCATCAGTCTCCACTACTGTCCCATTACTTATCTCCTGTTTGTGAGGGTGGGGGAACTGGGAGTGGAGCTCTGTTAACCAACACTGATAATGGTTTTCTTTGACTCATCAAGACTTTGAAGGGAATGGGCCTAAATCAATATGCATAAAGCAGAGGCTTGGTGGGCCAATTTGCAAAAAGGAAGTTGGGGTTGGGGAGCAGTGAATGAGAACAATGGTGGAAGGAATGGAGCAGGAGCAGTAATGGGGGACAGGGATCTTGAATCAGGCTGATTGAGGCTTAGCCTAAGGGTGGGAGGAGCTACCTGGGGTCTGTCCATATTGTTATGTTTACAGGCTTCCTGTCTCCCATGATTCTGCCTTGATTACAAACTATAGAGGAGTAGGGGCATCATTTCAAAATACACAAAAGGACAAGATTACTCATTTTTTTTTTTTTCCATTTAACTAACTGTGTTATGCTAAGCTTCTAGTGTGGGAAGAAAAGAAAATGTTTTCCTTCCATTAGAAAGTGACCTGGGGAAGGAATTTATCCCTAGGGTAGAGAGCATTTCCTAATAAATAGCACTGTGAATTTTGACAATAGAATGTGTGTTAGAAGGTGTTTGGCTTCTGTTTCTGATGAAGTAAACTATTGAGCTTGAAAGTAAGACTTGTTTGCTACTATCTTTTTCCAATAAATAAAGTTAAGAATTATAGTTAACTCTAAACAGATAATTATGAATCATTTTGACAATTATCAAATTTGTATATATAGCTTTGGTATGAACATTAGGATAAATTGTACAGAAAATTTATAATTTGTATTTTTTATTTTAGAAAGTGTTTCAAATTGTATTTATATTATTCTGAAATGTTATTTATTAGATTAAATGAGAATAAAATGTAAAACATTTTAATAGAAAAGCTAATATACTGAAAAGTAATGTCACCAATATCAGCATCACCTGTATGTTAGCTGTAGCAAGTCATTACCATGTTTTATCCAATTTTTATTTCTTTTTTATCAAGCCATACACACACACACACACACACACACACACACACACACACATGTTTGACATGTATTAAACTATTTTACTTGTATTAGATCTGGACCTCATAGCTCATAAGAAACCAACTACATTACAAAGCCAATCAAATGATGAATGACCTTCATTAAAACAGGTCTGAAACCAACTAGTTTCAAATTGATAGTGTAATTTCTGGGTGTCTTTGAGAGTCAGATCATTTGTGCTTAACTTGAAAGGCTAGGGCCCCTGAAACTCAATGGCCACTAAAACTTCTTTGAGTCAGGGGATTTCAAATTCTTGTTCTGTGAATTCAAGGAAAGAAGTATTTTATTATAGGGAACTTAGTAGAGAGAAGGCAGAAATCCCACACAGCAGGAAGGGTCCCTGTGAGCAAGATACTATTGAGCCTCCTTACTCTGGAGTTAATAAGGCTTTAGTGAAATGAAGAGGGGAGGAATAGAAGAGTTGGCCAGTTCAGTTCCCAGTCCAAAGGACTGAGTCCCTTTAATTTCCTTTCAAGTCCTCAGTGTGGTTTCCAGGAACCCTGTACTCTTTTAGTGAAGAGAGACAAGGAAACAATAACCAGATCCTGTTCCCCCAACCCCCTTCCTAGCGTCCTCAGAGTCTGGCTATGGTGGATCCATAGATATCTTTGGCTTATCTTTAGCTCTGTAATCTCTGGCCTCAGGCAAGTATACTGCCAGTCCAGGTCTTGGCCAAGAAATAAACTAATCACTTTTCTTTTTGGGTCATTTTATGCTAAACTGCTTACCCAATTTGTACCTCCTGTTCTCTTCAAAATAATTTCTGCCAGTTGGTTAAAAATTAAAACCAATGATTAGTGTCTATGAAAATATTAGATACATATTAGCATATTTTTATATTGTTTTTGATGATTTCTGCCATGAGAACAACCCTTCTGAATCCACGCACCCATTTCAAGTTTTATTACTGGCTTCAGTTCTTTTTCATATAAGTATGAGCACTGCGTACATTGTAATGTTAAATGCTTTAATGAAGATCATGCTAACTATACCAAAGAAAATAATTGTTTCAAAGTGAATACAAGATAGATAAAGGTTAAATGAGCATAAATCATCTGAATAAAAACAGACGTACCTATACTCTCCAAATGTTTGCTGTTTTCTTTTTAACTATAAGTAGAATATTCAAAAGGTTTCCAAGTAAGAAACAATTGCAAAAATGTTAAAGATTTCTAAGATGCAGTTTTGAAATGATTGGCCTTACAATCCAGCAGCCAAAGCTCAGTTCAGTGACAGAATTCTGCCTAACAGTCAGAATCCCAGACTAGATCTCAGCACTGCAGAAAAAAATCAAAGAGATGGTAAGTACAGTGGGATAGGTTAGTATTTTTTCAATATCAGCTTATTTAGATGTACTATTAAAAATGAAGTTCAAAAATGTGAATTAAGTTGCTGATTTTTTACTAACAAAAATTTGAGATTTCCCACCCCAAAACAGAAAATTGAAAAAAAAAAAAAAAAATTCCTATAGGTACAGGGCAAGCAAAACTTTGTTTAAGGCAGCTTTTCTTTTTCAGTAGTTTTGGAATCTTTTTAGATTCGATTTAGAAATTTATTGACTTATATAGAACATGGTAAATAATAGGTAAAAGTGGTTAGAATGGGCAAAATGTCCAAAATAACAATAACAAATATTACATAAATGAAAAGAATCAATGCATCTACTTATTTATTTATTTATTTTCATTTATTCAATCTTTTAGGGAATGACAGCATTTGAGAGCAACATTTAGTCATCCAAATGTACCAAATGTATTATACATAATGTTTAACAGGTCTTCAATAAAATAATTTAAATGAAAGGTTTTTTTTGGGGGGGAGGGATGGGCTCCTTGTAGCCCCAGCTGTCCTGGAACTCACTATGTAAACCAGGCTGGCCACCAACTCACAAACATCCTCCTGCCTCTGCCTCCTAAGTGCTGGGATTAAAGTCATGCGCCACCATGCCTGGCCTATTAAAAGTATTTTTAACATTGTACACATAATGAGTTCAGGACTGTATTCAATAGGTCAATAAACACTTTTAATATTGTGTATATTTTTGTGAGGAAAAAATAACTTTGTGGCACAGTTTAATCTCCTTAATATAGTAGTTTGCTAATGTCATATTTCACCTAATAGAACAATTCCTATACATTTTATTGTTTCAGTTGCAAGATTTTTACATTATCATATTAAATTATCGCTAATAAAATTCCATAACTTAAGAAAAAATTGAGTAGCATTTTGTTATTGAAAATAGAGTATTGCAGACAGAAAAGAAATTCTTTTTAACAGTGGATCATCACAAAATGCTTAGGTCTACCAAGCCTGTCACAGACTGTTGTTCCTTCTGAGTCTGCATCCGTATTTTGAATGTAATATCAAGAGCAATAGCCACAAATACACCTCTTGAAACCTGACTGGAAGTCAGACTCCTCTTTGCAACGAGTTTGCCTTTATGTCTTTAAATAAATAATATTTAATGTGGAAATTAGTGAACACATATTGAAAAGAATCATATAGTGAAATGTTTCTACAAGAGGGAAAAATTACAATGTATATGATCCAAAGATATTAAATGGGTCAGTAAAGATAGGGAGATGTAAAGATAAGGCATATAGAGAGTAGAGCAAAATATTAGTTTTAGGGTAAAAGGGAGGAGAGTATGATGTGTTCCTTAATGGTTACTTTCAAGGTTTCTATATATTTATATTTTTTTCTTGAATTCAGAACTTCATGTGATGTACATGATGCCATTCACACCTGCTCCCTGTTCCTAGCACCTCCCACTAAACCTTCCAACTAATGCCTTCCATTATTATCAGTCCTTTACATTTATTCATTATTTATTTTGCTGTAAAACTTGGAAAGATAAAATAAGATATACTGTAATCTAGAGTCAATACAGACCAATGAAAATAAATAAGAATATAAAAATTTACTCATGAATGAACCCACACAAATACTTGTAAAGCAATAGACAGTGGAACAGTTGAGCTCATCAAGATAAGAGCAATGACCAAGGCCATGAGCATTCTAAGTTGGTGCTGTTTTATGTAATCCATATCTACTCAGGATAGAGAGATGCATGATTTACTGAGATTTGCTTTCTTCATCATAAATGCTGATGAGACTACTTCTGACTCTTGGTTTCTGTGGATAGGAAGGCCACCTTAAAGTTCTTTACTTCATCCTGTCCTATGTAAATACCATATCATCATTAAAATGTGAAAAGGATTCATGTCTTCTATTTAGGAAGACTTTACAATGAATACAATTTAATAATAATAAATATCATGCCATGCTACTTGGTGGCCTCTTAATCACTCATTTCAAAATAAAATGGTATAAATTATTGATATAAAAACAGAAATCAGTTTCAAATATTAAATATCTTCTGCCCAAATGACTTTATATGGCCTTAAGAATATTTAATTGTTTTAAAACTATTCTTGAATTAACATTCATAGAAAACAAAAATAATGGGTACATAGAGAAATTTCAACTGCAAGAACACAATCATTATTTATTTGAACATAATCTTGAATTGCTGTTTTGAAGTTTGAGGAGAAAATTAAAGTGGCTTGGCTCATCATCAGAAAACACAAAAGATACTTAGTATTAGAAAAAAATAATAACTTCACTAACATTTCGGAGGATACAGGAATATAATAGTTCTTGAAGGAAAATGGAATTTTGGAGGTGTGTTATCATTAGTTTATACATGACAAAGCAAAACCGATGCCCTGGTTATTAACTTATACTTGTGGTAAAATCATCTCCCAGATGCAACATGAAAAGATCAAGGCAGAAGACAATGTTTCCACAGTGATGCAGTTCGTCCTCCTGGGATTCTCTGACCTTCCAAGCCTTCAAGGGTTTTTATTTGTAATATTCTCCATAATGTACTTGATTATCTTGATTGGAAATTGCCTCATAATATTAATAACCAGGCTTGACCCTGCATTACATAAACCCATGTATTTTTTTCTTGCAAATTTTTCTTTGCTGGAAATCTGTTATGTGTCAGTCACTCTCCCTAGGATTTTGTTCAACCTTTGGACTCAAGACAGAAGAATTTCCGTTCTGTCTTGTGCCACACAAATGTGCTTCTTCTTAATGCTGGGAGCCACTGAGTGTTTCCTCCTGGCTGTGATGTCCTATGACCGCTATGTGGCCATCTGCAACCCTCTGCATTATCCTCTGGTCATGAACCCAACAAAATGTTCTCAGCTGGCAGCAGGTTCCTGGTTCAGTGGCATCCCAGTCCAGATAGGACAAACCTGTCAGATATTTTCTCTGCATTTTTGCAATTCTAATAGAATAAGTCATTTTTTCTGTGATTTACCTCCCATCCTGAAGCTGGCCTGTGGGGACACTTCAGTGCATGAGCTGTCTGTCTATGTAGTGGCTATGCTCTTTGTTGCCTTCCCTTTTATGCTGATACTTGCCTCCTATAGCAGAATCATTGTCACCATTCTGAAGTTGCCAACAGCCACAGGACGGGCTAAAGCCTTCTCCACGTGCTCTTCCCACCTGGTGGTGGTGTTTTTGTTTTTTGGATCTGCGACTATTACTTACTTAAGGCCAAAGTCCACTCATTCGCCAGGAATTGACAAATTGCTCTCTCTTTTTTACACCATTGTGACCCCCATGTTCAATCCCATGATATACAGTCTTAGGAACAAGGATGTGATTACAGCACTGAGAAAATTATTACTTAAAAAATAGTCCTTTGACTTTACGCATAAATGCTTGAAGTGCTTTTCACACAGATAAAGAAAAAGATCAAGTCTCTTCATTCCTTTGAAATGTTAATGTCTTCCTGCTTATAAAAGATTGTTGTTATTTTTCAATAGTAGCTTGAAATATAGTTTGCTTAGAATATAACGTGAAAATTCATATACCTTCATTCCATGATCTATGCCTGAAAAATAAAGTATTTTATTATAAATAAAATTGCTAATGTGAGTCATATATTCGGTGTGAAATGTATGAATAAAATGTAATCTGTTGATATATATGACAGAAAGACACAGGAAGATTTTTGTTGTTGTTGTTAAATAATATTTAGGACATCACCCTGACATTTCCTGGTTTTGTATTACAGATCTACCAGTAGTAATTTAATACCAATGTGTGTGGAAGGAGTTGTTAAATGAGTGAATCAAGTAGCAGATATTTTTGCTGTATGTCTGAGTTTCAGCAAATTCCATACTTATCACATCAATAAATACCAGAGCAAAATTACCCTACTGTGAATCTGAAGAATTCCTCCAAAACTATTATTAAGAAGAAAGCTAATAATCCCTTTCTAACTACTTTTTATCAGTATCCAAATGATTTGATGGTATATTCATTCAATTTAACATCTATTAGGTATGTCTAAACTTTTGCTATTTCAACAAATATGTTCATACACAAAGTTCGTACTAGAAATTCCTGCAGCTCCAAAAAAAATGTAAAAATAACAGTTGTAATACTCAGTTGGGAAAGTGGGTCATTGTGTAACAAGGATTACTATACAAGCATGAGAACCTGAATTGTAATAATATCGCACACATTAAAAGCCAGGCATGGCTGCATGTATACCTGTAACCCCAATATTGAGGGTTTTGGGGGCATAGACAAGAGGATGACTATAGTTTGCTGGTGGCAAACCTATATCCAGTTTCAGCGAAAGACCCTATCTGAAGGGACTAGGAAGGAGAGTGATAGGTATGGCAAGACTCTTGACATTCTTCTCCAGTTTCTGTAAGTGATTGGGCATACACACTCACAGGAACAACATGCATACATCACACACACACACACACACACACACACACACACACACACATACACACATATATACAAGCATGTACTCAAGCACAAACACACATAACCCAAAGCCATGTTTCAGGTTAATGGTTTTTCTTTGGGCTGCATCCATAGATATCCTGGGGCACATGTGGCCTTCCAACCACAGGTTGGTGATAGCTAAACCCATCTACAAATATAAACACAATAAAATTTGAGTCTTACATAAGTGATTTTATCTAGACTATATTGTATTATGGCATACCAATGAATAACTGATGGCAGTTTTATATCTGATCAAATGAAGAATATTACATGACATTATTCAGGCTACCTCTCTGGATCATTTTGACAAACACACTAAAGATCAGCAAGACCTCTCCATGCAACATGTGAATATCAGTTACATGACGACAGGGACATCTGCAAAGGTATGCATACCATAATCCAGGCATCATGATGAATTATCTGAACACTAAGACAAGGTGGAAGGAAGGGTATGTCACTAATGTGCAATGGCAAATATTAAGGGAAACTGAGGAATCAGGATTCAAATTGCCATTTCTAGTTGATAAGACTGATTAAGACTTCAGCTAAGGGGTTATTTCTAGAAGCACTCAATGCTTTCAATCCTTTGCTGATGGTGAAAACAGTGATCTCCTTCCCTTTTCTTTAAAGGAGCAGGATTCTTCCAGTAATAACATTGAAGAAAAAAGCAATCTGCATGACAGGCTCCAGTAAGCAGTACTGATCTGTTGACAATGATATCTTGGCTGAGTGAGACCTGTACTTTCAACTTGGTTCTCACTGACAGTAGAAGAAGCATCCTCCAGAGATATGGAAAAACTTCTCTTGAATTTAGAGCTATAAACATTTCACAGTGTCAAGTTGGGTGCAAATAGACTTCAAATAATTCAACAGCAAGAAAATAATCTAGTGAAAATATGTGGAAAAATGAGATACTCATTAACAGATTAAAATAGCTGATAGGTATGTGAAAAATTCTCAGCATTTTTGTCACAAAAGCAAACTGAAATAGATTGTGCTGCCACTTATTTCCTTTCAAACTGACCAGTATAAAAAGATGAATTAGAATCTGGTTTTTGTAGTGCTTGACTTTAATCCCTGGACTCCAAAGGCAGAAGCAGGTGGATCACTGTGAGATGGAGGCCAGCCTGATCTACATGGAAGTTTCCAGTCCAGCAGGGGCTAGAGGTATACTCTGTTTCAAAAACACAAAAATAAAAAGATGAATGGGGCCAGCAAGATGGCTGTCCCATCTTCTATGGGAAGGTAGGAGAAGAAAACGAACCAAATCTACAAAGTTGTCCTCATCACAAATACATATATATTAATAACAACACTTTGAATATAAAAGTAAGAAAATATTAGATATTGTTGGGAGGATTTGGAGGAAATGACATTTATGAGAACCTCAGGTAGAAATATAAATTAGTACAGCCATTATATAGAAAATATATGGGGGTTCATCAAAATTTTGAAAATAAGAATGACATGTTTTAGCAATTGCACCACTAGTTATGTGTCCCAATGAATTACAATCATCAGGTTGACAATATACCTGCACTGTCATGTTTATGTCAATGTAAATCATAATGCTGAGGATATTTTATAAATCTAAATATCCTTTTACAACTAAATTGTTAAAGAAAATATAACACATACATAATGTAACACTATTTGTCTTGAAAAAGGAAAATAAAATCTTATATTTCATGGTAACATGAAAGAATATGGGGAAAAATTAAATGAATCATATTAACCAGTCTTAGAAAGCAAACGCAACATGATCACACTAAGGCATATAATCCAAATTCACATTCAGAAACAGATAGAGAGGATTGGTGAGTTCAAAGTGTCTGGGCAGATAATTTTGTCAAAAGTTTGCCAACAAGCATGAAAGCAAAAGAGCTTTAATATACATCATGTTGAACACAGACACCAAATATGATTTACCTTTTAACAAACATTTTAATTCTATTTTTTAAATACTCAAGACACAAAATTATAAATATTAATGTGCTATTAACACATTTAAAGTTTTGTTATTTCTAAAAAAAACCACTGTGCAATATTTAAATCAAGCGAGGCTTCTAAGTATAATACCATATAAGAAATTACATCATTTTATGAACTCAAATGAGTTGAACACCTTATTTAGCCAATTGCATCTATCTCTGTTTGTCTCTAACTTTTTCTCTCTGTGAATACTGCCTTTTTACATAGCTGTCTGGGGGTCTCTGAAACTGTCGTCATTCAAAATGCTCTCTAGTTCACAGAGCTTTCACTAGTCAAGTAAAATTTGATAAATTGAATTCTTGTCAATTTACATATTTTAAAAGTGTAAAAAGTTTTATCAGAGGTTTTATTGACTATTAGTATAAGAATATTTGTCAAAGATACAAAATGTTCTTGCAATACAATTTAAATTTAATTTAATTAATAGAAGGTTGTGTCAAGAAACTCCAATGGACTCTCGTGAACATTTAAAAATTGGCCTGTTCTGATTTTTTTTTCTAGTTCCCTGTCTAGAACTTATAATGCTAATTACTCTTGTCTTTACTTCTCCTTCACATCTCCTATTCATGATTCAAGGACTTTCTTTTCCCCTTAGAGACAAAAATTATGCAATTTGGGAGTATTTTAGATAGACCCACTGAAGGCGTACTACAATTTCCTCACCCTGTGTCCCCATTCAGCATGGAAGAAGCCAGAGTAGTCTGCATCCCTATTCCCTATTGACAATTTGGGTAACCCTTTCAGAGGGTGACATAATAAGAATAGGAGATAGGAATTGGCTAGGCAGCTAGGGTAAAAAGGCCCCCCCCAAATGTAACCAACTTCTGGGCTAAAAGTCATAATGTCCTTGGGTCTATTAGCAACATGCTCTGTTCCAAAGGCAAAAAATGTCAAAAGTATTTGGGAGCTTGTATCTAATCCATAAAATGTTTTAGGGTGACCTCTTCAGAGGGGAAAATGTTGGATGGGAGGGAGTGGGCATGGATTTGATCAAAACACCTTATATGCATGTATGAATTCTCAATAAAGATTTTGTGAAAGTTAAAAAAAAAGAAATAGAATATTATGGCTGTAAATAAAAACTACCCACGCTCAAAAAAAAAAAAAACTTTTATTAAGTAGGTTATAAGAATACTCAATTGTCAGCTGAAATAAATAAGTTCTTCTATTTCGCGTAACCTCTAACCAGTTAGATTTAAGGTGTCCTAAACTTATCAAGTTAGGAAAGAATGTCATGTGACTAGAAGGGAACACAGCTAGATAATGACTTCTTCCTGGGCACATGTCTCTTCATACTTTCTTGGATCCTTGACATCCCCTTCAGCAATCTGCATCTATCCTAAATTAAACAACTGATATGCTAGATGAGTTCATATAATTTATGTAGGTGTGCATATGTGTGCATATTTGTTCATACAATGGCTAGGAGTCCACCTTGGGTGGTGTTTATCAGTGGCAATAACTTAGATTGTCAAAATGGTGCCTCTTTCTGGCCAGGACCTCACCAAGCAGATGGAGAAGCAGGTCATGAGACCCTAAAGATCTGCTGTCTGTGTTCCCTATCATTGCAATTACAAGCATGTGCCACTGCACACATCTTCCTTCCATGGATTTTACATAACTAACTCAGTTCCTCATGCTTGTGCAGCAAGCCCTTCTTAGACTGAGCTACCTCCCCAGCCAAATGTTTATGATATTTTAGGTGCACATTAGTAAAACAGTATGACTTTTACATTTGTTTTTATTGTGATCCTTTTCACCCCTCATTATGTTTGTAAGATTTCTTCCTGCTGTTTTTTTTTTCTTCCTGCCATTGTAACCTTTGTTCATTACCATTTCTGTGTAAAATTCCAATGTAAAAGCTTATCACCATAATGTTTATCTAATATAGGACAAATGTCAGCACAACAAACCCATGAATTAATGGATCTCAAAGTATCATGTTACTAGTACATTATCCCAGCCTGTCTTCATGACACAAGGCCTATTCTTAATGACTGTGATATGGTTTTGCCTGAAAAACCCTAAAATACGTTACTTGATTCTTTAAGAAAATTTATTGTGGTGTTGTGGTGTTGTGCTAACAGAACAATCACCTGAAAACGAAGCCTGACTTTTAAATTTAGTTGTTTTTTTTTTTTTTTTTTTTTTTTTTTTTTTTGTCTTTTTGGGACTGGGTCTCCCTGTAGCCCCAGCTGTCCTGGAACTTACTATGTAGACCAGGCTGGCCTCGAACTCACAAAGATCTGCCTGCCTCTGCCTCCCAAGTGCAGGGATTAAAGGCGTGCACCACCACGCCCGGCTTAAATTTAGTGTTTAAGAGTAGGCCCAAACACAGAGAACACTAGCTCCCCTAGTTATCTCTTGGAATTCCCTTTCTCCTGGAACTATATTGCTGGAACTCTGTCCCTGGGACTGTTTCCTTGAGTCAGGCCCCACCCATAATTTTATTCATGATTGTTTCTGCACTTCAATTGGGGAAGTACAAGTTAGAATCCACCTTTATTAGTTCTAGAATAGCTCAATCACCCAAGGTCAAGAGTCTTGTCTTATCTTCACAGTGTACAACAAAGATGGGTGTACTGTCTTTCAGAGCTTCTATATGTTAGTTATCAAGCAAAACCACAGTGGTTCATTTTCGTTTTAAATGGAGTACCAAATGAAGGTTTCCAAAGACATGCCCAATTACAAGACATAGGGTCCTCTGAGTTTGAAAAGTTAAGTAAAAGACATTAGTCTAGATTACATCTATACTATAAAAGTGAATCCCTACAGATTGCAAACTCTTGAAATAAAAACTAATAAAACTGGACAGATTTTCAATTAAATGTTTTAAAAACAATCAACAGTGAATATTTCATACAGGTTTTGATGTATTTCATTCAATTGTCTTCTATACAAATCTAGGAAGGAAACTTAAAAATCATGAGATGTTTGTATATAATGGTAGATGAGGTAGAGATTGTCACACAGTTTTACAAAAGTAACACTGATCCATGGTCTAACATCAAGGTTGCTGGTTAATCCACATGATCAAAAATATTTGTTTTTTGAATGTTTCAGGTTAGCTATTGTGTTGGTGAATCATAATGGTTATCTAAGGTTTAATTTTATCTTATCTACATGAGCACTAATGAAGATGTTTATCAGTGAGTACTAGTTAAATAAAATTTCAAATTTAAATAATAGGCCAGTTAAAAGGGCTGTGCCTATAAGTTTTTGTCCCTTTGAATCAAATGTTGCCTTTACATATGTGACATAGCTGTCAGTTTTTTCTAGAAAATTATTATTATGGCTATACACACATATACACACATATACAAACACACATATAAGTAATCTTACTGTGCTGAAGAGTGGGTTACATAACAATGGAAACAATTCATAGAGCTGGAGAGACAGAGTATGGTATCCGAGAAAGGCATTCTAAATTATTTTGATAAAGGTCTTTTTAAAACATTGCATTTCAAATCTGATTAGTGTGATGTGGTGTGGTGGTGTGTGTGTGTGTGTGTGTGTATGTGTGTGTGTGTGTCTGCATGCTTGCCATGGGAGCTTGTATAAGTCTGAGGACATCAAGTCTCTCTTCTACCATGTGAGTTCCTGTGACTGAACTCAGGTAATGAGGCTTGGTTGCACATGCCTTTACCCACTTAGCCATCTCACCAAACTACTAAATTCCTTTTCTGTATAGAAGTGCACTGAAGCAGACTACATCGCATCCACACGCAACTATATATCCTCTTTGTTACTCTTTTGTATACATATTTTAGCATCAAGTTTGAAGGAAGGAGTCAAAACATAGAAACTCATCTGTAAAATTGACTCCTTTATTCAGTCGTTGGTACTATTGACTTGAGTGATAATATTTACTTTCAGTCATTCCTTAGCAGGAAAATAGACATGCTTTAGAAAGATGAGGGCAGTACATGACAAATATTGAACTGGGTAATCTTGGAGAGATTAGAGTGCTGTATGTTGAATAATAATTCTCTAAAATTTCAAGAACAGATACCCACGGCCATTAACACAGGACTGTAAGTTATAGATCAGATGATTTAAAATCATTCCAAACAATGCATTTTCAGCTTCCTAATTTGAGGAGTAGTTACAGTTAATGAAATTGTTATCTATATAGGGATATCCTTTGTAAAAAATTTTTAATTTTCCCTCTCTTTAATCTTCATCCACTGTATATAATAGAAACAGCACGTATTATGATTCAAATAGTATCTAGATGCTAAATTAAAGTCTATGTGTGAGAGGATAGTTGGAATATAATATGTGGACTCCAAACTGTTTCCAATAACCTACCATTCTTTTATTTATACTTTGATATAATTTAAGCAGTGGTATTCACTATATTTATTGTTGTCTTCAACTAATAGAGCTATTATAAGAAAGCAATGTAGAGTGATGGGTTAACAAATATAATAAATTACTATTTTCTTTACAAATCTCAGTGCAGAGCTTGGGAAGGAAGAGGTGTTTGTTCATACCTTATTTTGTGGCTAATACAATATCTGTATTTAACTGTCTCCTCATAAGAAGACAAGGTACCTTCTTGTTTAACTCAGGATGCTGTTTCTAAGATTTTTTGAAAGAATACATGTCAGTTATTTATTTTTATAATAATTTATTTTCAGAATTTCATACCAAGCAATTCATTTGTACCATTCCACCCTTCCACCACAACTGTTTCCATATTTCCCCCAGCCTATCTCAATTTTATGCTCTCTTCTTTAATCATTTTATATATATATGGAACTTTCATACTCTGTTCCTGGAACTGTGTCCTCAAGTCATGCCACACCCATAATTTTATTCTAAACAGCTTCTCCAGTTCAATTGAGGAAGTATAATCTGGGTTCTACCCTAGTCTTAACAGACTATCTGGTCTTTTCATCCCTAGTTCTAGATTATCTCATTCAACCAATGTCAATCATGATTCCAAAACTTCACTGAATACAATGGAGACAGATAAGCAAGATGCCTTTCAGCAATTTGTTATTATAATTCTCAAGCATGCCTAATAAAATTCAAGAGCTTTTTATCTAAAACAAAGACCATTCATATTTTTTCCCAGCACAATACTTTTTGTCACAATGCATCATATGCTGGCACAAAACAAAGGCCTTTCTTCCATTCTGAAATATTTCATAGTGGCAGCTAGAAAGATCTCAGGGACCCATTTCTATCAAGTGTTTATATCCTTTGTGGTACTTCACATATGTAGCCATATTGATATTCCTTCAAGAAGCTTTCATAATGATTGACCCATCAAAAATTGGGGGAAAGAGAGGATTGAAAAGGCAATATTATGGATATACAGACATATTTTATCACCCTAAATTAATAAGTATTATCTAGAACCAACAATCATTTTGTATATTTCCTCAAAGGTATTTGGGGCTATAAGTGTAGTATATGTTATAACCTTGGTAATTTTCACTTTTACAAAATCTAATAAGCCATCAAAACTGCCATGCTATTTGATAATATATTCCATTGCCTATATTCTATTTTATGTTACAAAAGTCATTTAGAAAACAAGAATGATGGAGTCCTTTGGACAGCAAGCCCTTGAACTGAAGATGATTATAATAATATAACGGACATACTGAATTAAGAATAGAGTAGCATTCCACAGTTTCCTTAGGACATTAAAGGAGCATTTAACACAGGCTGAGAATGGAGGAGAAAGAAAGGGAGGATGGAAGCAGGATGGAAGAGTCGAAATTTGTAACCTATACAGAAAGGCCTATTTCATAAGAACCTGCTTATTGTTCTTATAACCTAAAGTCCTTTAACTATTTCCTTCTAAACTGGTTTAACCATGAAATATGAAGCATTTAATTGTAAAAAAAGAGTATTTAAATACTCAGTAAATCTTAGTGTAATTGAGACAATGCTTAAATTCACAAATGAATAAAATAGTGACACAACTGAATGATTCAGGAAAATTATCTCTGAGAAGGTGAAACAATTCACAACCAATAATTAAGCAAAAAATAAAAGCATGCCTATAACATTTTATGACTAGACTTTAGTACAAATATGTATTTGAATTAATTAAACTGACTCATTTGCTTAAGTGCCATGCAATAAATTTTTCAAAAAAGCCACAACCATCATAAATACATGTTTGTGTAATAGCACTTAAAACCGCTTTTTATACCTTAGCTTTTGCAGAGCCTCATTCACATCCTTGTTCCTCAGGCTGTAAATCAGAGGATTTAACATGGGAATCACCAGGGTGTAAAACAGTGAGCTCATTTTGTCTTGATCTAGAGAGTATGAAGAACTTGGCCGGAAATACATGAAGAGCACAGTTCCCTGGAAAATGGCAACCGCAGTCAAGTGGGAGGTGCAGGTGGAGAAAGCTTTGAACCTCCCCTCAGCAGAGCGCATCTTCAAGACTGAAGAGATGATGTAACAATAGGAGACAAGGACTCCTGAGATGGTGCTCAATTCAATGAAACCGAAAACAGTAAATAAGGCCAGTTCATTGACTTGTATGTCAGAGCAGGATAGAAGGTAGAGTGGAGGCAAATCACAGAAGAAATGATTGATCTCATTAGAACCACAGAAACATAAGCGGAATGCCAATGTTGTATGTATCAAACCGTCAGCTGTTGCCACGACATAAACCCCAGCCATGAGCAGGGAGCACAGCCTGCTGGACATGTTCACGGTGTAGAGCAAGGGGTTGCTGATGGCCTGGTACCGATCGAAGGCCATCACTGCCAGCAGTAGACACTCCGCATCTGCAAAGGTACAGAATGTCAAGAACTGCAGAGCACAGCCCACAAAAGGAATTGATTTTTTCTTGACGAACAGGTCCACCAACATCTTTGGTCCAACTGCAGTAGAATAGCAAAGATCACAGAAAGAGAGGTTGCTGAGGAAAAAGTACATCGGTGTGTGGAGCTGGGGATCTACTCGGATTAAAATGATTATTCCAAGATTTGCCAAAAGATTAGTGAGATAGACAAATAGAAACACAGTAAATAAAGTCACTTTCATTTTAGGATTATTGGTAATTCCCACGAAAATAAATTCATTCACAATGGAGCAATTCCCTCTGTCCATCATTCGTTGCTGTGGCAAAATATTTACAAAAGTGACAGAAAAAATAATACATGTTTATTTTACAGCACAATCACAAAACATGTATAACGTAGAATAAAATTTGTTTCTATAATTTTTTAATTAAATCTCAGAGAAAACCCCCATGCAAATATCATTCTATGGAAGCATCATATCTATTTCAAAGTGATCATTTTAAAAGGTGTGAAAAAGCACTGAGAAACTGGTAAACATTGAGATGTCTTTCAAAGAGGCATAGTACTTTCTACTGCTTTGTTAATTTCTCTAGGCTTATGTTTTCTTATGATGGGAGCCAAATTTTTACTATACCTACATCTCAATGTGTCCTTAACATAATATATAATAAATGTCAATCATAGACTGACCTGTAACTATAGGACTAAGTACTTACTGTGCATGGGAACATTTACACTGACAAAAAGACCTAATGCAATTGTGAGATTTCTTGACACAGTCATGATATTTCCATAGTCTATGATACTTTAGAGTACTTTCTGAACTAAGCATCATTTTCATAGAAACATCCTAGGAGTTTGCTAAAATGCTCATTCTTCTGTGTTGGACTACTCTGGATTTAAAGATGAGGTTTCTCATCAAAAAGGATACAAATGAGTGTATTATGCAAACCTTTGAATTATGACAGAATTTATGTCAACTTTTATGTTTAAAAAATGAATGCAAATTAAAGAAGAATAAAAGATTGAGGGATACATGGGCTTCTCTTTATGAATAAAGATGTTATTAATATTTTCACATGATCACATGTATACCACACTATTTATTATTATTATTATTATTATTATTATTATTTATTTTTAATTTTTGTTTGTTTATTTGGGTTTTATTATTTGGTCTTTTTGAGACAGGGTCTCCCTATAGACCCAGCCAGCCTGGAACTCACTATGTAGAGCAGGCAGCCCTTGAACTCACAGAGATCCATCTGCCTCTGCTTCCCAAGTGCTGGGTCTACAGGCATGTGCCACCATGCCCTGCCATATCACACTATTTAAATATATTAATTGGAATTTAGGGAAGGATATTTGTGAGGATGAAAACACCCTATTTAAATGTAGTGGGTGACTTACAAGTTATACTTTGTTGTGTCATATTTCAAGGCTTTTACAAAGGAAAAGTAAAATTTAAATCCCTTAAATTTATCTATGTACTTACACAATCATGAAATGAGTAAAGACTATAATGAATGTATAAAATAAAAGGACATATTATTTGTGATTATAACTAAGTTCATCATGTATTTCCCAATTATGAGAAAAATTAATATCACTCTTGTTCATAAAATGTCAGAATACTGGTTATTTGCATGAAATGGTTCATTGATAAATTATGTTAAGTTAATTTTCAAAGTGGAAAGCTTATATCCTTAAGTTTAGATGTTCAGAAACTTACCTGTGAGAGGCAGTTTGGGGCAGGTGAACGATGAGCAGATAGTATTTTATCAGGTAGCATTTGGGACCAAGTCTCTGAATCCACTTCCCTCAGGTTTTGGAGTTATGCAAACATGAGATTAATTAAACTCATGGCTCTGTATTTTCCCCTGTGAGTATCTCAAGCTCTTTATCAAATGGTGAGCTTTAATATCTCAGTATTCTCACCAAATTGAACTAGGTCAGGATGAAAACTGAAATATAATGCTCACATATGTTATACTGTAAAATATAATCTAAACCATCCTTGCTCACCAAAGTAGAATGCAATGAAGTACAAATCACCAGCTGAATATTTTTAACTCCTTTCTATTTTTCATCATGTCTCCCTTTTTAAAGATCTTTCCTTCACCAGCCTAATGGTCTATTACTAACATTAGAGCGTATTTTACTGATATAATTTAAAAGTTAACTACCGCACGTATACTTTTAAACCCTTCCTGGATGTTTAGTGTATTTACATGATGGTACAACCTTCTCCACTATTTACTTCCAGAACAGTTCCTATCACCCGAATAAAAAACACAGCGCAATAGTGGTCACACCACCTCACCCTACTTTCACCTCTAGTCCCTCGCAAGATCTGCTCTCTCGATTTTATGCTGCTCTTCGCATGCATCATTTATAAATAGAGCAATCCAATCTCTGGCCCTTTGCATCCTCGTTTCTCATTTAACACAGTGCTCTCAAAATCTCCTCTTCTTTCATGTTTCAGAACTTACTTCCCTTTATCGAAATAATTTTGTTTCAGTTTATGATATAAGGCATTTTCTTTACCCATTTCTCAGCTGATAGACATGAGGATTGTTTCTGCTTTTCAGCTGTCATCAGCAATAATGATATGAACATTCACAGGAATAGGAAATGCTAAAGGCTAATTTCCTCATCCAGAATCTTCAAATCCTTGTAATGCACGGTATGTGGATAAACTGTCATATGCTCTTTTAGTTCACCGAGACGCTGACTCTGGAAGTAGGTGAGTCTCTTATTTCAGACTTAAGCATGTTTGACTCAAAGATTGCTGGGACCTGCATGTAGAAGAGGACCCATGCTTTCAAATTGTCCTCTGAACTCCATATGTGCACTGTAGTGCACACACACACACACACATACACACACAATAACAAATGTAAAAGTAGTTTTTCATGTTTTGCATATTACTAAACATTATTTTTTTTAATATTTTTATATTTTTATATTTTTATGTTTATGCGTGAATTGCCTCCATGTCGGTAAGTACACCCGTGTCATGCAATGCCCACGGAGGACAGAAGAGGCTGTCAGATCCCCTGGAACTGGAGTTACAGACAGTTGTTAGCTGATGTGGATGCTGGGATTCGAACCCAGGTCTTCTGCAAGAGCAGTCAATGTTCTTAACCACTGAGCAATCTCTCCAGCCCAGTAAACACTATTGTTAAAGGCAATGTATTCCTTTCTGTATAGTATATTAACTTAAACTCTGTATTCTCATTGGCTTACATCTAATCCAGGCTAGTAATTCAAATAATTATTGTCAAACATTTCAATTTTAATTATAGTGCTCAAATAACATACCCCTTTTTAATTGTATGAATATTAATAATTGCGTAACCACATGCAACATCTCTGGTATTATTTATTTTACAATGGGAGACAAGATAAAGAGACTACATTTAAAACATCTGGTTTATCTCAATTCCCATGCATTAGCTAATACCACTGCCATTGCCTTTTCAGGCCCAAATCAGCCCATTAATATTTCAATATTACATTTGTGTGACTTAGTCCCAATCCTAAAGGAAAGACTCAGGATTTAAAAGGAAGGTCTTTAGAGATTGCTCAGTGGTTAAGAGCAGAACTGCTTTTGCAGAGGACCTGGATTTGATTCCCAGTGCCCACATGGCAGCTAACAACCTTCTGTAACTCCAGTTCCAGGGATTCGATACTCTCTTCTGACCTTCATGGGCATTGCACAGCAGGGGTGCACTTACCTACATTCAGGCAATACACTCATACATTTAAAACAAAAATACTTTTTTAAAAATACAAATAAATGAAACACAATCTGGCCTCTAGCAGAGTAATGTACCGCTTACCAAGAATATATGAAGTCCTGGTTTTGCTCCCCAAAACACCACGTGCATGTACACAAACACACACACACATACAGACACACAGACACACACAGACACACAGACACACAGACACACACACACACACACACACACACACACACACACACCTTTCAGATCATAATGACTCACTAATGTCAATGGTCTATAATATTTTTTCTGTTACCACTGCTCAAGGACAGGGAAAGCTGTGAAAAAGGGAACAGTGAATTCTGAGACCTACAAGGTAGTGACCAGTGCTTTGTGATGTGTGCTTCTATTATCTGCACAGTCTTCAAATGCATTCAGTCCAGGGATATTTTTTCTAAATTACTCCTTAGGTCACAAATTTTCTATGTGATATTCCCACGAGTTGTCTAACACTTCTAATTACTAACTAAAGAAACAAAACCTATAGCTAATCAATTTTTTGTTTTCTCTTTCTGGGTACATTAGTTAGGAAAATATTTTCTTTTCTTTAGTGCATATTCACTAAATATGATTAAATAAGCCAATAATTGAATGAAATACATATTTTGATGCTATAAACCCATATGGAAGAGAAATGACATCCTCAGATCTCCAATTCAGTCATTTCAATTTCAGTAGATTTTAGGAACATTTCAAAGTGTTTTCTATAACAATGTTGCTCATAAGAAATACTAATAAATAGGCATGAGTTATAAGGCATAGGTAGCAAAGCTTAAAAGCTGTTTCTCAAACGATGCATTCTTTTCCATGGATTGTTTTCTACCTTTTCTGTAATCTTGAATGTTCCACAAATACAACTTAACATCAGAATAGGCTTCTGGGCTCACTTCTGTTCTCAAATGTCTTTATGCAAGCGTGTTTTATTATGACAGAAGACCTACACCTAAGACTTTCAATGTTTTGATTGCCCAATGTTAATGTATTATTAAGAGTTGCTTTTTTTGCGTATTTGATAAGTTACATGGCCACAACCCTACTTTCTCCACTAGATTCTTTACTGTCTCACATCATAAATTTGAACAAAGTCAGATGGAGTAGCTGAGTCAGCTTGCTTAGCTATTTCTTTTGTAATTAGTTTGCCTGTTGCTATGGAACCATAGGATATATGATTTTTATTGCTTTTTGTGATATATTTAGCATATTGGTCAAAGAACACACAATTTAAGCAATTAATTTTACACTAATATCTAATGATCACTTTCACTGTTTCTAAATGGATTGATTTTTATTATTTATCTCTTTTTTTCCGTCTCATTTCTTAGTCACAATGCAGGTGATATAATAAGAGGTAGAAAACTGCATGCTATCTTTGAACAAAATACAGTAGTTAGAGTGCTTGCCTAGCTTGTCCAGTGCCTACTACACATATAAACTGGCTTTGGTTGCTCATGCCTGAAATCCCAGCATTTGGGACTTAGAGACAGAAAGATCAGGAGTTCAAGTTCATTCTCCTAGGCTACATAATGAATTCAAAGGCAGCCTGAGCTACATGAGACACAAATAACCATTCTTTTAAACATGAGGGCAGAATCTCTCAAAGAAATATTTTAACAAAAGTGTTTTTATTCATCTCAGGCTATTTTAAAGCATATGTAAACCATTAGAGTACTCAAGTGATGATTATATTTTCACCAAAATGTGATACTTTCTGTACTTGCAATAAAAACCAACCTTAATGTTTTGAAAAGCAATCTACTCCTATTATAAATGACACTGCATTAAAGAATTAACAAATAAAAAACACTGGAAGCACTGAAGTTTTCAGGAACTTTTTTGGTGGAGATAGAACCCCTTGTATATTATGAGGAATATTAATCATAGATTCCAGGAACATTTTTTTTTTGCAATTGGATGTTAGAGCAATTTTATTTCAACAAATTGTGTGAACAATTACATTATAATATAAATGAAAATATCTATGAATGCATGCATGTGCAAATACAATAAAATATGTAAAATCACCATTTATTTCTCAGTTTTTGCAGGGCTTCTTTCACATCCTTGTTCCTCAGGCTGTAAATCAGAGGGTTCAGCATGGGAATAACCAGGGTGTAAAACAGTGAAGTCATTTTGTCTTGATCCAGAGAGTAAGAAGTGGTTGGACGAAAGTACATGAAGAGAATAGTTCCCTGGAAAATTGCAACTGCCATTAAGTGGGAGGCACAGGTGGAGAAGGCTTTGAACCTGCCCTCAGCAGAGCGGATCTTCAAGACTGATGAGATGATGTAACAATAGGACACAAGAACTCCTGAGATGGTGCTCAGTTCAATGAAACCAAAAATGGTGAATATTGCCAATTCATTGATTTGTGTATCTGAGCAAGATATTAAGAGAAGAGCAGGGATATCACAGAAGAAATGATTGATCTCATTAGACCCACAAAAACACAAGTGGAATGTTAATGTTGTATGTATCAAAGCATCTGTCATGCCCACTAAGTAAACCACAACCAGGAACAGGTAGCACACGGTGTTGGACATGTTCACGGTGTAGAGCAAGGGATTGCTGATGGCCTGGTACCGATCAAAGGCCATCACTGCCAGAAGTAGACACTCAGCATCTGCAAACATACAGAATGTCAAGAACTGCAGAGCACATCCGACTATGGAAATTGAACTGTTCTCAGACAAGAGATCCACTAGCATCTTGGGTCCAATTGCAGTGGAATAGCAAAGGTCAGAGAAAGAGAGATGGCTGAGAAAAAAATACATTGGTATGTGCAGATGTTTGTCCATTCTGATCAAAATGATCATTCCAACATTTGCCAGGAGAGTAACAAACTGAATAAATAGAAATGTAATGAAAAGGATCACCTTCATCTCAGAATTATTGGTAATTCCCAAGAAAATGAATTCATTCACAGAGGAGCAATTTCCCTTGTTCATTTTTCTCCTTGTATAAACTTGAAAAAAAGAAGCAAGTATAGACACATATTGAATTAGAGTGTGCATCCTTAATATAACTGTAAGGCAGAAGATATTTTGTTTCTGATTGTTTTTATTTTGAAATATAGTTAGTCCTATTTTGCAGTTTTGAAAACACTGTATTTATTGGACCCTAATAGAGTATTTTTCATTATATTAGTTGAGAATCATAGGGATCTATAAGCTATTCTTGTGCTATCACTTTCTTTCATTCTTGACTTTCCATGATCTCTCCTTTCTTAACTCAGGAAATGTGTTTTACAATACCAAAGATTCCAAACAGTCCTTTAAACTCAGCACTGGAAAGTAGAACCAGGCAGATCTCTGTGAGTTCTAGGCCAGCCTGGTCTCCATAGTAATTCCAGGAAAACTGGGGATACAAGTTAACGCTGTCTCAAAAAGACCAAGACAAACAAACAAACAAACAAAAAACAAAAATGAAAACAAAATCTCAATTAGACATTAAGAATAATTTTTCCTCCCTGCTTTGGTATGACCTGCCTACTGAATATATCTACCAATGTATTTGAAGTGTCTTGTTTTATGACTTTTGTTTATTCTATCACTATAAAAACTTCATCAAACTGTTACCAGATTGTAAAATGGAATTGGGAGTAACATGAATCTGTGGTTCTGGGCAATGATCACTCATATCATATGTGATTCCAGAATGAAATACTTCTTATTCCCTTTAAAAAAGAGTAATATGCAAGGGCCTCCAGATTTAGTGAGATTTGATGGCAAAATGTTACTTAAGAAATTCGCCTTTCTTTACATTCACCAATATATGAAATTGTTCTTAAAGATTAAGGTTGACTAAAAAAGATTATTTTAAAAAATAAAGAGCAAAGCACTGACAAAGAAAAATATTATATTTATCTCCTGCTACTTGGACCAATGTGCTCTTTAGTATTTAGCAATATGTAAATAGTTATAGTTATCTTTTTCTTCATAAAATATATTAGGGTTTTGCCACAGTGATATTGTCTCTTGACAGAGGGAGTATAGAACCAAAGGATGAATCCCTTATCTGCTAAAAAAGTAATTGCAGCTGGGTGTGGTGGCGCACACCTATACTCCCAGCACTTGGGGGGCAGAGGCAGGCAGAGCTCTATGAGTTTGAGGCCAGCCTGGTCTACATAGTGAGTTCCAGGCCAGCTGTTTCAAAAGGCAGAAAGTATATTTCATTAAAAAATGAAAATGGCATGAGAACAAGCGATGATTATCCCAGAGTAGATCCTTCATAAGTATAAATGCAGTCGTGTAATTTGTCATGAATTTTCATGTGTGTAGTACTTAGTTGGCACATGAGAATCAGAATACAGGGATGGACAGTAGTAGAAGATTTGACAAGCTACATTATTAAATGTTACAGTAAGTAGTGTACTTGGATTTGAAAATATACACATTATCACTGGTAATATGATACATCAATTATAGTTAAGAAATACAAACATGCAAAATGAATTACTTGACCTCCCACACACATATATGTACACATATATATATACATCTACAGTCATATATATAATATATATATATATACACACACACACATACTCATTCATACACGTATATAGTGAGAGAAAGATCGACACAACGATAGAAAGAGAAAACAGCTTTGCTTCTGAACCTAGATTAAGAGAAAAAAATTAAATATGATTTTTACACTAGTAAGTACAGTCAGAGTCTTCCAGTTCTCCACAGAATATTTAATTTTTATTAAACTGAAACCTAAACAGCTAAGTAATCACAAAAGCTGATTCATTTATAAATACTTCATTTGCTTTCAGTAGAAGATAACTTTGAACCTTATATTTTACATTTAGGAAACTCGGGAATTTACCTGAGGTGAGCAGGTCTTTGATATCTGAGCATTGTCAGACAGTGTTTTATTACATGGGGTAGCATTTGGGGGTTAAATCTCTGAAGAACTTCACAGAGTCTTTGATGCTATGAAAACATGTGATTAATTAAACTCATTATTCCATTATTTTCCCCTGTGAATATGTGAACAGGTAACAAAAATGGAGCCATGAGTTCTCACTACCATCATCAAGTCTTTGATATCTGAGCATTGTCAGACAGTGTTTTATTACATGGGGTAGCATTTGGGGGTTAAATCTCTGAAGAACTTCACAGAGTCTTTGATGCTATGAAAACATGTGATTAATTAAACTCATTATTCCATTATTTTCCCCTGTGAATATGTGAACAGGTAACAAAAATGGAGCCATGAGTTCTCACTACCATCATCAATGAATCATCAT